GTTTTGTCGTCAACGTTGACGTTTACTCACTGTGGGGTAGCCGAAAGCTCATACCCTGCACCAACACTAATCTTATCTGCTGCTTTCTCTGTGGACGATGAAACGAAGATCGGTTCCACAAGCTCACAACTCCATTGATTTAGATCTCTCTATGCATCGTGCGCTTACGCATTGAGAGATTTTTTGTATTGACAGATCCAAACTCTATTAATAGTTCATGGCACATTGATATTGACAGATAATAAGATCAGAATGCATATTCATTTTTGTATGCGAAAAGTTTCTTTCATAATTTTGTACTCAAAATATTGTTAAGATTAACTCTGCATAATTGCATTGGATATATAAATATTTCTGGTTGAAATTAAACTATTTTTTTCTTTCTCAAAAGTAAATAATCATAATACCAATAAGACTGTACATAGTGCCGTGCGACTTCTGTGTCAACATTTGGAAGCAGAGAAGTAACATTTAACAGAGTCGGAGAACATAAACATACGAGGAAGATAATAACATGTGAAGAAGCATAAGTAGATGGACGTTCTTACAACCAAGTTCTTATAGTCTTACTCTTACCGCGAGAATCATTGCCTGGAAGTATCAGACACCAGTTGGGTGGGATATCGGTAGCTCTGGTGCTACAGAAAAGTGCAGTCCCCTGCGTTGAGGCACACCACCATGTATCATGAAAGCAACTTCTGCAGCAGCTAGAGCCGCTGCTTCCTGATGATTTCATAGAAATAAAAGCAGTTCATTGTCTTGTCTGTTGGATTGAGTATTTACAATTTAACAGAGTTCGGCGGAGGGAATTTTAGTGTTCACACCTGTCTTTGCCTCCGGCGTTGTAGTATACCGATGGCCCATGCCATGATGTAACATGGGAGAAGAAAACCGGCGGCACGAAGAAGGAATAGCTGTTGAAACCAGAGAGAGCCAACCAAAGAATCAGTCAAACATTCACAGCAAGAGACGGTATGAAGAAGCAGGGAAAGTAAGTAAAGATGTTCATACAGAGAAGAATGCAGTTGGATCATCCTCGTCATCTGAGTTAGTTGTGAGATTTAGCGCATCTCGTAACAGTAACAGTGCCATTAGCTGAAATTACAGAAGTCGAAAGCAGGCATTAGTATTGATGAGTTACAGTTGAAGATGAGACGATCAAAACAAAAAGAACATCCAAACAACATGTATGAAACTGTGCTCTCAACAAGATAACTGAGAAAAAAGAAGCTTACGATGAGAGCAGCAGAGCGACAAAAGGCAGCTCCACTTGAGTTAGACTCCGAGTACTCGTCATAGTCAGCTTCCAAGAAATGACGTTCTGCAGCTGCCATTGCCAAAATGCGTGGGTCGCTCAAGTCCAAGGGAACTCCGTTCTCCCAGTCGTCACTGCAGGATATGTTTTCAATAACAGAAAGTCAGAAACAAGTCAAGAAAAATGAGGCTCTAGTATAAAGAAGGTAAACACAAAACAAAGTAATTACCTAAATATGCAAGATTAAGAAATAAATAATGGCAGCAAGGAAATCTATATAAATATGAAGACTTTTCAAAAATATCATCTTTCTCATGATGTTACCAATAAATGAACCAACTTCTGAATCTTACATGCATAAATAATGAAAGTTATCAATATCCATCACAGCAAATCTAGTACGAAAGAGGGTACATCATGAATTCTCCATACCATACCAGAATCATATCATGGCAAAGTAAGATACAGTTGAAAGCATAAACTTAAGAAAACGGATGTGGACCAAAGGTCATTACTTTATTAAATTGATAGGTTACTTAAAAGATATCAATTTCATTATAAATGGTTACGAAGAATTCACTTGTATGACAATTCATCAAGTCATAATTTTCTTTGTTGAAATAAATTATTTACTACTCAAATATCAATTTGCTGTTCAAGTCAGTTAAACTACCAATAACATAGATTTGGAAAACTTACCCAATGTGAATTATTGTTTCATCAGGAGGAGGCGGAGGAGCTGTATATCCAGGTTGGTAAGGCTGTTTACCAGAAAGAACAAAAAAAAAAGAAATTTTTACAAATTCTCTTGTAGTTAAAAGCATGAAGATGATTAAGCACTTGAGCAGCAATAACAAGATGAACCATTCCAAACTAACATAGAAGAGTCCCAAGAAGTAGAAAGAAAAAATCAAGACCTCCAATTCAGGAGAGGTGCGTAACATAGACTAACTACGACATTAATACAGGAATGAAGATGTAGGTTCATTTCTTCATCAAAGGGTGAAATAAAATTTGCATTTTACCTTAAAAGCTATTAACTTAGATCGGTATATTGACATAAAGAGACAACGTTTAGCAGTGACAGATAGAGCATCGTAATTAAAAACGGTACTAATGGAGAACTGGCTGAGTGTTGATTCATTTTATCATCCAACAGTAAAAACTAATTGAACTTAGATCGGTATATTGCCATAAAGATACAACATTCAGCAGCAGAGTATGAGAGATTGATTACCTGGTGGCATATTTCGCAGGTTATGTCGCCTTTCTCATTACACCAACGCTGAACACATTTGCGGTGGGCATACTGGATAATCAAAATTCAAGAGAAATTTCAAACAAACACCATCAACACAAAAAAAACAATGAGATCCAATGGACTTTTATAAAACTTAATAAAAACAAATTCGCATTATTTTACCTTCAAACTTCCATTACAAGCACAAGGAGCCTCGAGGTTCTTAGTGGAATCCTCCTCCTGGCAGATACGACACTCAACAGACTGGAGAAGTGGTTCTTCCTCATCTGCAACAGCGTAGTACTCCCTCGGTTCCTCATTCACAGACGAAGAAGCCAAGTCTGTGCCTTGAGGCTTGGAGCTTTCTCCAGAAGAATCTGAAGACTCAGAATCTTTCTCTGACTTCAAGCTCTCAGATGTTATGAGACGATCGGTACATAAATTCAGATGATCGGCCATACTTAAACTTAGCACCAATCTTGTTGATCTGCAACAAGAACCTCACCAACTTAAAAAAAAACAAAAATCAAAAACCATCCCCTAAAGCAGAACATTTGAAACCTTAAGAACCATCAATGAAAATTCCACACGTATAATCTCAAATTCTGTAAAAAAAGGATTTGATAATTTCAAGATTTTTCCAAGAGACAAAAGAAACCCTAATAGAAAAAAGCCCTAAATTCGAGATAAGTTATGATTCGATCTCCAGAATCAAACCCTAATATCTTACAAATGGGAAATCAAATCGCGAACACACACAAAATTGAACGATAACAATGGAAGAGTTTAATAAATCAATCGAAGGAAATCAACATTACCTAGAAATGATTCTGGAATCGAATGGACAAAAACGAAATCTGGAAGCTCGAACAAAACTCTTGAAATTCGCGTTTTGTTTTTTGTTTCTGTGTTCGGTCTGAAAAAATCAGATAAACATATATAATTTGGGAGCGCGTTTTTATAAAAATATCTAAAATGTAATATTGTTGCGAGGTTCGGTTTTTTACGAACCAGAGCTTCGGAGCTTGGTAAGATAAACGTCTGTTAAACGGCTAGGTGAGAAAAGCGCTATTCTCTCTTCAATTTAACCAAACGTTAACGGAAGTCGTTAGGTGGAAACTGTTACATTTTTTTTTTTTTTGTATAATTTATTAAGGGTTGGTTTAGATTTTGAATGTTAATGAAGATTTTCACCGGCCGACAAAACTAAAATTAAAGATTAGTAAAGATTTTCACCGAAATCAGATGGAGGAATGAATTAATTGGTCCATGTATACACTTAATGTAATATAACGGTAGAAAAAAAGAATTTATGTGACATTAAAATAAATTATTTGCTTCTTTTTTTCTCAATAGAGTAGGCAAAATGGACAAAGTTGTAGTTTTGATAAGTTGAATATTCTAGATTTTCCCTGATTTCCATACGGATTAGTTTGACTTTGACTTTTCATATTTGCCAAAGTCGGAAGTTAATTTACAAGATACTTAAGAAAGTGAGTAAAGTAACGGGGT